GGTAGCAAGCGGTGACCGACGTCTTATGTACACGGTTGTCATTGGCATTGGATTTTGATGTGGTCTGTACACTGCCTCAGCCATAATTGTATGTCCATGAATGTTTTGTTATGGTGTTGAACCAATAACTCTACTTAGACAGTTGTGCCCATGGAAACTATCAACCACGGAGACTCAAACACGCGCACTCCGGCAACTCGGGTGCTGAACACCGTACGTGCGACCGTACCTCTAGATACTGGAGATTACCTCTCCTTCTTCTGCAGGACGTGGCGGACTCACCTTTCTTTCTGCTCCACATTGGGGCGCGGAGAATTTGTTGCCAGACCTCCAGCTTATTCAGACTTTCTTTGTGTCTACTAGAATCAGCGTGATCTCAGTGCTCTTCGATCAACCACATATAATTTGCACGTATATCAAGGAGAACACTGAGTCTGCCAGTATAGATACAAAGATGTGACAACGATGGAGTCCTACTCAGCATTGCGCTCCACCCCATCGTCCTCGATGGCACTGTCCACCCCATTGTCCTCGTTGTCGCCCTCCGCGCCGTCATCCTCGTTCTCGTTCTCCACACTGCCATCCTCGTCCTCCGTCACCCATTCCTCCTCGTCCTCATGACCTGTCGCGATATCCGTAGATATGTCGCCTTCTCCGTGTTGGTCGAAGCCTGCAATCTGCTCAGAATCGTCGTCAGACTGGTATCCGATGAGGTTCTTGAACGCCGCAAAAACCGTGCGATCAGCTGCAACCCACTGGTCGCGCAGCGCACTGACGAACTTCTCGCCTTCTCTGTGAATAACGATTCTGATGATCAATAGTATGACACATGAGCGATAACAGTGTGCTTACCTCTCGCGACGTTGAAGTCCTCGCAAAGCTGGCATGTCCCAGCCCCACGCCAGTAAAGCTTCGTCGGCTACCGGTTGCTTGACGTGATTGTCGAATTCGTAGAGGGTCTTGTTCGCTGCATCAGTCAGGACGCCGATGTACGCGTGGAGAATCATGTGTGCGACATGATTATGGACGAGGGGAAACGTTGCAGGGTCACGGGGCGTCTCAACCGGAAAGTCTGGGACGCGTGTCGTACAGGAGGGGCAACGGACGGGCATTTGCGGAACCCCATCGCAGAAGTCCTTGAAGATCCACTGGAGAAGGCAGAGTGCGCAGAAGACATGCTGACACTCCGACATGTTCAGCAAATACGGCAATCCGCTGTATATGAGTCGTGTCAGATATAAGGTTGCGTACAGTGTACAGAACATGGTTCACGTACATGACGCATGTGCATCTGGTCGAGCGGCGGACAGTCAGTGCTTTAGCAAAAAAAAGGAAATCGGACACATGTACAACTCGCACATGAACTTGTCGTTAAGTTCTGTTTGAGCCCACTGAATATTGATGGAGGGCCGGAAGTTGAGGTTGAGGGAGCTCTCCGCAGGCGAAGCGGGCATTATGACAGACTCGTGGTCGTCGGAAACTCCATACATGTCGGATAGACCCAGAGTTTCCTCGCGCGGTTCACCTTCTATCGATGTGAGCATGCTGCCTCCGTGCTCGGAACCATGACCACCGGAGCCACCTACCGCTCCAGAACCCAAATGACGTCCATCCGCAGACTTAGGGACGGTACCCTGCGACTCTTTCAGTTTCATCCTCCGCAGAGTGACCTTCTGCTCTAGGCGAGCTGTATTCCCGTTCGTCCTGCATTTGAGGCATCATCCTCTCAGATGCAACGCGACTAACGTACCTCTCTTCTCTTGTATGGTCACCGCGTCCGTCTTGACGTGCATTGTGCCTCGTCTACTTGCCCTCACATTTTGCCGTGCACTCTGTTCCGCGGTAGAGGTCGCCATTTGTTGAGATATTGAAGTGAGGTAGGACGCAGAGGGAGAGTAAGAGTGGAGGGTGAGAGCAGAGTACGAGCGACACGAAAGTCCCGAAGCCAAGCAGTACTAATTAAGTAAGTTTAGTATGACTAATGCAGATCACATCTCACATGTTTGGCGCTGGTTTGCCCACTACCGTATCAGGCCTGTGCGTATGCAGCGCGCTATCGCGCACTACCGTTTCGATTCACTGATTCACTACTGATACAAACTTCAAAGAGTGCCTAGAAACTCACCGTGCAGTGTAGAATCGCCAGGCGACTGAACGAAGATGGTGTTGTAGTCGGAGATCGACAGATTATTTAGTGCCGCGCACACTTGTCTGTGCTGCACTCTGGCCAAAGGGCGAACGACGCACTTGTGACTGTCAACATTTGTATACATACTGAGTATTGCGTATGGAATGGAGTTCGTTCTGATACCAGTCAGTCGTTATGGTGTCCGGAGAACAGAAGCGATGTCTGTTGCGAAGTTGAGAACTCACCTTCCGCGCGACTCGCTACCACTGTCATCTTCCCTCGGTCATTCCTGTATACTCTGTCTTCAGATGTACATCTCTTCCGCCGTGCTAGTTAACAGTACCATCGTCATTTCAATTTACCGCCAGATATTCGCGTGATTATAGGCTGGAGAGTGTGGTCATGTTGGGCGGCCGCGTTATACACTCGGCGATGAGACTGGTCTTGGTGGGAGAGCCGGTAGTCCTAGCGCCACATCCTGAGGTAGAGAACACTGCAGTGTGAGTGAAAGCGAAGTTCATACAGTCTGAGCGCATTGAGAGTGCGAGGAGTGAGGGTGTGCTATGCAAGTACGGCATGCGCGGCGGCGCGCGCGTCGCTCCGGTCCGATCATGTCAAGCTAGCATCACGTCGTTTCTGAGAGTTCCAAGTTCCGGCATGAGTCAGTCAGTAAATGTAGAGTAGCACACCAGAACTCGAACACTCGCTCCATCAGCACAGCAATATCATTCAGACGTATCTGCTATGAAGTACATTGTATACATTTGCAGCCGCGTTACAACACATAGCCCTTTGCTGCGTCACTGCCGACCCTTCGTAACAGGGCGACGTTCTCGGAAAGGACGCGATCCACTGTCGGTAGCATGGGAAGGTCTCTCCATACTCGCACGCCGCTTGCGGGTCTGTGGTTTGATCGGACTCTTCTCGGACGCGGCTTCCTCCACGGGCTTGGCTTCTGGCGAAGGTGGCGGTGGCGTCAAGTCGTCCAGTGTGGTGTCTGTGACAAGCGTTGAGGAGGACTGACCGCTGTCCACCTGCAAGAAGACCACGATCGTCAGCACGGAACACAGAGTACGAATTTTGAGGCTCACGGGAGGGTCCACGTCTTTGGTCTCCTTCCCGCTTTCGACGCCCGAGTTGTCAACCTCCTCGATGACCTCTGCCTCCTCAGCACCTGCCTCAGCCGCGGAGGCGAGGTTTATTTTGCGTCGGAGCTCGGCTGCACGATTCATCTGCTCCAGAGAATGTTCAATCTGCAAGTTGCGAGCGGTGCGGTACATATCCGCGTTGTCGGGTCCAAAACGGAACTCGTTGGCAGCCGGTTCTTGCGCAGCGTCATTCAACTTTGCCTTGCCCTTGGCCTTGCTCTGAGTGGACGCATCAAACATGGGGTAATCACCCTCTATCACACGGAGTGAGAATGCATTCAACAAATAGTGGTCAGACGACTCACCGAGCTCGACCTGCTGTCCAAAGTCAATCCGATCGGCAGGATCAAGGTCTTCCTCTTCCATGTCGAATCCAGGCAACAAATCTGGTGCCAATCGGCCAACACGGATGAACTCCAGGGGTACCATGTTCGTCACCCAGTACTGGCGGCCTATGAAGACGTCGACGACGAAACTGAACCATACTACATCGCCGACTTTGGGACCCGGCGGGGTACACGTCTTGATGTCCACTACTTTATCGCCGCGGAGTTCCCCGATCTTGGGACGATCGGGGTTGGCGAAGTACTCTGAGTCCTCTTGCGTTGCGGCTGCAATCCACTCGTGGAGCTTGTACCGGATTCTGGCTTCTTTGGTGCGGGTGTACGGAGTGCGCTTGCAAAATATGGGGGACGTCAGGATGAACGTCCCATCGTTGCCTTCTTGGCCGCTCTGCCATTGGCGACGTTGCTTGTTGTGCGCATTGAAACCCTCGCGTGAGGTTACAAACTTCTCAAATGCCTAGTGTACAATGAGCTCAGCGTATAGCTCGATATATAATGATGACATACCTTCTGCGCGTGCCACAGTGATTTGTCGTTCTCCGTGTCAAGTCCATACGACAGTTGGCACAGGCTACTCGGTGACGATTGGCTGTGGAACGGTCAGTATGACGGTCCAATGTGTATTGAATGGAAACTCACATCCGTCCCTCGGAAAGCCACTCCGGAGCTGTCTCTCCAACTGGGACAAAGTTCCCTGTCTCCAGATGGGAGTTCCAGCACCACACGCCGACTGAGTGGAACACGGCCTGTCGTTTGGTACCACGTTTGGCGATCTTCCACATAGATGAATGGATGGCAGGGGCAAACAAGCAGGGTCTGTTCGAGCTGTTCTTGTGTTTCGATGTATGCTGCAGGCGGCATCGTGGTTCCAGGGTTATGGGAAGTCAGACGGTGGAACATCGATAGGCTCATGGACTTTTGTACTCACCGGAACCACCGTCATGATGCGCCTGAACTGTTGAACAGACCACAGCGGTCGCCAGTAAGAGATGTGTGGTGACATCACGCTCGCGGTGAGCCTATGCGAGTGATGCCATGAGTTTCGAGCTGTACTGAGAGTACTGACTACACCTGGCTTCTTGCGATATGATGCAGTATACTCTGTGAACGCATGTGAGATCCTAATTCGACGTCATCGTGAGTCGCGACTCACCAAATGGATGCGTACGTCAGTCAGCGCCATGTGAAAAACCTCACGTACCAGCAACAATCCAAGATTTCAACACCGTACCCTGGTAGCTGTAAAGTATTCTTGGGATTACGACCATGAGTGCAGCAGGAGTGGAGGACGTGAGGAAGAACAGGCTTCAACGGCTGGTGACGACACTATGACCACGGCGAGGCGATGCTGTTGGCACCCTGGTGTACGTGTACATCATCAGCCCTACTGGCTCAGTTGGTAGAGTGACCTGAATGCCATTCAGGCCGTCGCAGGTTCAACTCCTGCCGGGCTGCGTTGCGAGTGTAAATGATGGGTAAATTTTTCGCCACTTAAAAACCCTCCCTTACAAAGCCTGAGATCCCAATACCATAAGAGTTTGTTACGGAAGAAAGGAAACGTGGACTAGTGGTACCACGCTTATCTCGTATGAAGCTTACATCCCAGGGTTCGATTCTCGCATAGACACATTTTTTTCTGTGCCATGGGCAACTCACGCGGTCACCTCCCATGCCGAGTCTGGAAACTACATCGTTCACAGAATGAGTCAACCTGAAAGCTACTAGGTGACGTGTGATTATATATTGGAGATAATAGTTCGTGAACTTTGAATTGCTGCACTTGCAACAGTACGTGTCTCGTCAGCTTCCGTGGTGTGGGAGATGACACTCAAAGTCACCTAGAGCCGTGCACGAGCGCGGTGTGCTTGAGTACGATAGATATGCATCGGACCTCTCCCTTGATTTTCGACCACCGAATGTCTGGCTTTGACTATTGGCCGCACTTGGCCTGGCGGAATCACCAAGAACGAGCTGGTCGTGTCCTGTAGAGCATCAAACCAACTGACCGCAGTTCACGGTGATTAGAATATACCTTGGTGGGAAGTGCCCGGTGAATTTTGGCGTGTACAGAGTATTTGGGAGGGGATGGCATGTTGCGCTGGCTCACAACTCTAAGCATCTCACGGTCCTACTTATACTGTATCCTGAGACGTGTATGTCATACGTCGCGTGCCTATAATCAGAGTCTTGGATGACGTATATATGAACGTAGACTCCGTTTGGCTAGATGTAGATACACTCGCCCGCCCGTGCTACACCATCATGGATTAATCTGCTGACCGAGAAGATCAATAAGTATGTCCATGTCATCACTGGCAAGTGCCTCGCCTTCAGCATCGGACATCTCCACTTCTGACTCCTCGGCACTCGAAGATGACGTGTATCCGTCCGTATTCGTGTCGTGCGGTGGGATGAGGACATCGAATACGAGCAGATGTAGTTAAGCTATCTAGTCAGGCCGACTAATTAGTGCCCCGCCAACTAGATAGGTTCACCTGAGAAGGGGCGACTAGCTGGCCCATCTAGATGGCTTGCAAGTATCTAGATGGGCGGTTGAGCTCACACTGAGGGTAACGAGCAGGGGGACAACTAGATAGCATGAACTAGATAGCGCAAACTAGATAGCATGAACTAGATAGCGCAAACAGGACATCTAGATACAGGCTAGTACTAGTCGGCCGACTAGATAGCCGCGACTATGTAAAAGGCGTGTATCCTCACTACCTCCCCCCCCCCTTGGTGGTATCTAGATATGACGAGTCACGACGTACTGCCGAGGCCTTGTACCCCCACCCATATGTCTATCTAGATGCCCATATACCCATCTAGATGAGGTACACTAGTTAGTCCGGTTTATTTAGATACCTTACCTACATATATACACATTTCATGATGTCTCTGTGATCAGTTCCGGTAGTGCCAGCCACCACATCATCATACCTGTGCCTCTTTCAAGGATATAGTGCCGCTCATGGC